TGCATGTATGTATGTATGTATATGTGTATGTGTGTGCTATGTGTATGCATGGATGTGTATATGTGCGTATGCTGTGTGTGTATGCATGGATGTGTATGTGTGCATGTGCGTGTCCTGTGTGTGTGTGCATGTATGTGCATGTGTGTATGTGTGTGTTCTGTGAATGTATCCATGGATGTGTATATGTGTGTGTGCTGTGTGTGTATGCATGTATGTGTGTGTGTGTGTGGTTGCATGCACATGTGTGTGTATCCCTAATGCTTCCCAAATAAAACCACAGTCCCCACCTCCCATACACAACCACTGACCTGCTCCTCATCTCTGCATTCCCCATCTTCCTTTGGGAAAGACCAACACAGGGTCTCCGGTAGGCCAAGCTGGCCTTGAACTCCCTCTGTAGCTGAGGATGACTTTGAACTGATCCTCCTGCCTCTACCCACAAAGTTCTGGGATAGCAGGTGTACCCAATATACCTAGCCAACCATTAATCTTTTAAGGCACATTTTCATCTACTACACATGGGGTTATTATGAAAAAAAAAAGATAATGTTTTTTAAAGGTAATAGAAAAAGATATCGTTTTACTTAAAAAATGCATGTATACTTATGCACATACATATAAAACAGTAATCATTAAAAAAGAGTTCATGAATTGAGAGGCAGTGTGGGAGGGGCTGGAGCTGGAGAAGTAAAAATGATGTAGATACAGTAGCCATGTATGGCATTGTCAGCAAATTTTTAAATCAAAACATAGACGTTATGGGCTCACACTTATAATCCTAGCACCCATGAGGCTGAGGCAGAAGTGTTCCTACAAGTTGAAGGCCAACATGACTATGTACTAGGTCCAAGGGTAATCTGGACTATAGGGTAGGCCTCTGGCTGGCAGAGAGGGTGCAGAGAGTGTGTGAAAGGAGAGCCTGACTCGCCATGCGAATGTGCATCTGAGTGGATACCGAGTTTCATTTCTTTGGGACAAATGTCAAGACTGCATTTGCTGGCTATGGGCAGCTGCGTATTTAGAGTCATTCCTAAGAAACTGCTAGTTCTATTCAACCTGGTATTGTTCTGTCCCCTTGTCCTTTCCCAGCCCTGTTTTGGGGTTTTGTGATCTCTTTGCTAGACTTTTCATCTTTTCAAAGAAGCCCTTGGCTGGGCATCTCTCAGAGCTCCCACTGTCCAAGCAATTTCTGCTCAGACTTATCGTTCCCTTCCTTCAACACTGTCTCTTGGTTTTCAGTACTACAGCTGCTGCTTCAGGGTAACACTCAGCTCATTAACATCCAGCTCGCCAATGACACAACAACAACCAACCAAACAAATAAACAACAACAAAAACCACCACAACAAAAACAATTATAGAGTCTGATTTGTGTTGGCCAATCATTCCTGGGCATGGGGCCTCCCCTGGAGTATGGTTGATATATCTAGTGACACTCCATTGGAGAAAACTAATTTTCCCTTTCTCAGTCCTATCAATTGTTAATAGCTTCTTGGTTAGGTATGACACTTCGGTCCACTTCCCCTTCTCAGTGCTGGGATGATGTCTAATTTGAACCTGTGTAGATCTTGTGTGTGCTGTCACACTGTCTGTGAGTTCATATGTGACTCCATCTTCTGTCTGGAAAACCCTGCTTCTATAACCTCTGGATCTTAAAATCTTTCAGTCACTTCTGCATACAACCCTAGCCTTGGGTAGTGGGGATTAATGACATCCCATTTAGGGCTGAGAGACTATGTCATAAATAATATAGACCTTGACACCCCATTTCTAAATATTAAGTTTCCACTAAGGTCCAATAGCAAGCCAAGAGTTATCCCTCGAAGGAGAATGGTTGTCTATAGATGATGGTAGGGTCCTGCTCCAAATCCCAAAGGTCTCCACTATAAGGACCTGCCAAAGACTCCAGACAGCATCCCTATCTGCCATTGCCACCTTGAGTAACCATCAAGTGGGCTTCATCATATGATCCAGGCAGCAGAGCAGCTTGCACAGCAGCTGGGTCCCACTCAAAACTAGTAGCTTTCTGAGTTTATTTGGTGTATGGGCTGGAGTAATACAGCCAAGTATGGAGCTTTCTTCCACCAAAAGCCAAAATGCTTTACTAACAAGTCTAGAATGCCTGTCATTTCCCTGTCACTTAGTCTTATCAATATAATGCCACTGATATAATGGGCCAATGTGATATCTTGTGTATCAAGTTCCCCACAAACTAACTATGACACAGGCCTGGGGAGTTAATATACCCTTGCAGTAAAGGTATACTGCTGACCTTGCCAGCTGAAAACAAATTGTTTCTGGTCACCTTTATGGATAGGTTTCAAGAAAAAACAACTTGCCTGTCCAATAGCTGCATACCAGGTACCAGGAGATATATTAATCTGCTCAAATAAGGAAGCTGCATCTGTGATTGGAGTCACTACTTGATTAAGTTTGCCATTGTCAACTGTCATTCTCCATGATCCATCTGTCTTCTGCACAAGCTAAAAGGGAGAGTTAAAGGAACATGTGGGTGTAACCAACACCCCTGCATCTTTCTAATTTTTTCAGATTTATTTATGTATTGTATTGCTTTGTTTATGAGTGTTTTGCCTGCATGTATGACTGTGTACCACATGTGTGCCTGGTACCCATGTGAAGAGGGCATTAGATCTCCTGGAACTGGAGCCACAGACAGTTATGAGCTGCCCTATGGCTGCTGGGAATTAAACTAGGGTCCTCTGGAAATGCAGCCAATGTTCTTAACCTCCAAGTCACTTCTCCAGTATTTCTCATTTTTAAAAATAAATTGTGTATGGTGTTTTGCCTACAAGTGTGTCTATGAACCACATGTGTGTAGTGCCCTTGGAGGCCAGAAGCGGGCATGAGATCTCCTGGAACTGGAATTACAGACATCCTTAAGCCACCAAGTGGGTGCTGTGACTCAAACCTGAGTCCTATGCTAGAGCAACTAAGTGCCATTAACCCCTGAGCCATTTTCCCACCCCACTCCATCCCCAGCATCTTGCAAGGCCTTAGTGGTAGCACTAATTTCTATAATTCCCTCCAGAGGATTTTCTTTTTTAGTTCACTATTTTCCCTGGAAGAGGCAACTAATGGCTTCCATTTGGCCTTTCAGATCATAATAGCTCTCATTCCACACATCTGACAACCAGTGTTGGGATTCTGCCAAACTCTAAGTATATCTGTCCCAGTGATACACTCTGGGACTGGGGTGAGTTCCTGAGCTCAGTGGACTCACTGTGAGTCATACATCAGCTGAAACTCCATTAATCACCTGACCTCTCTAAGCCCCTACTTTTCTGGAGGGCTAAAATGCTCTGGAGGGGGTCTCTCAGAATCAGTGTCAATTTAGAGCCAGTGTCTAGTAGGGCATACAAATTCTGGGGTGTTTTGTTTTGTTTTGTTTTGTTTTTCCTTTTCCTGGATGTACAGTTACCCTAATCAAACCTCATGAGTTCTTTTGGAGAAAGACTGATTGGCTGAATTGACTGTAAAACTTTTGTTTGTTTGTTTGTTTGTTTGTTTGGTTGGTTGGTTGGTTGGTTGGTTTTTGAAACAGGATTTCTCTGTGTAGCCGTGGCTGTCCTGAAACTCACTCTGTAGGCCAGGCTAGCTTTAAACTCACAGAGATCCACCTGCCTCTGCTTCTGAGTGCTGGAATTAAAGGTATGCACCACCACTACCTGGCATAAAATTTTTTGGAAGTGTGACACGATTGTCAGGGGGTTCTGTGTCTATAAGCTGACTTGTGTGGGAACTGATTGAGGCACTGAGATTCTCTGTTGCTACAATTCAAAGTACACTTTTTTTTTTTTCTTTTTTTTTTTTTTTTTTGTTTTGGTTTTTTCGAGACAGGGTTTCTCTGTATAGCCCGGGCTGTCCTGGAACTCACTCTGTAGACCAGGCTGGCCTCGAACTCAGAAATCCGCCTGCCTCTGCCTCCCGAGTGCTGGGATTAAAGGCGTGCAAAGTACACTTTTAAAATCTTTTTTATTCATCTTATGTGTATGGGTGTTATGCCTGCATGCATGTCTGTGCACCACTTGTATGTCTGGTGCCTGCAGAAGTCAAGAGAGGACAATGGAGCCCGTAGAACTACAGCCATTATAGACTGTTGTGAACTGCCATATGGGTGTGGGGAATTGAACCCCAGGCCCTCTGGAAGAGCAGCCAGTGCTCTTAAACACTGAGCTGGCTCTCCAGTCTCTCAAGGTAAATATTTCATTTGCTCTGGAATTTGTTTACACAGATGAAGTAGTGCTTTGTAAGCTCCCCCCCATCTATTGCACTTTTGGGGACACACACCACTGAACTACCCAAGTTTGACCATTTAGGAACACTGCTTGGTCTCTGCTGTCCATTATCTTAGCATGTTGAGAGATAAGAGGATGAAGATTAACATATAGAAGCAACCAATGCTAATGGAAGACTGGAAACACATAACAAGGTACACATACCATGCAAAGAACAAACATTCTGGTTTTTTTTGTACTTATGCGAGGACACATGAGTAAAGCTCTTGCCCTTTATGCTCCAAATGTGGAGCATGTGGGTACTATGTGAGTGATCCACAGAGGCTCATGACTGTTCTGGCTCAGCAACATCAGAGCTTCTAGCCTTTCCCAGCTCTCGGCCCACAGCCGTTCTTGGAAAGAAGGGCCATTCTCTTTTCCTTTTATTTTAATTTCTAAGTTACATTTATTTATTTAATTTGTTTGTTTATTTATACGTGCATGAGTACGTATGTGTGTGTATGTGTGAACTCACTGTGTAGTTCTTGAACTTATAAGATGGATTAGTAATGTTCTCTCTATAATACCAGAGTAGTGTAGAGTCTTTAGCGATTTCAGATGTAGATGAATTGGAGAGCCAGGTCAGACACCATCAAACCCACTAGAGAAATGCATCCTTAGAGTTCTGCCTCTCTAGAATCTGCTACTGGTACCTCAATCTGGATGAAATAGGGTTCTTTAGAGACAGAACTAATAGAAGAAATGTATGTAATAAAGGGGGGTTTATTAGATTGACTTACACAACACTAGAAAGGTTGTTTAGTCCAAAAAGTGTCAACCTGGTGCTGAAGGCTTGGAAAATTCCTGAAGAGTCACTGGCATTCCGTTCATGTTAGAGAAGGCTGAAGAAACTTCAGTCTGATGTCAGAAGAGGACAGTGGCAGCAGACAGATGCACTGGCTCCAGACCCAGAGAAGGCAGGCAGCCAACACTGCTTTTTCTTTAGACTGGGCCACCTTTCAGTACTCAGCCACCTGCTGGAAGTTGCTCAATCCTGCCCAGGTTAGACCACTCTGGAAACACCTGTTAAAAATAAAATCTGGTAGTTCATTTCCAAATGAGCCCCAAGCAAGCTTAAGTCTAGTTACCAATGAACAGAAAACACTAGACCCTTGCTAACACTTGCTAGTCTAGCTATTCTCTCCTCAGGACCCAATATATCCAAACTCTCCCAAGCTAACCCATACACACAATCTAAGAACTTATCAGTAGACAACCGCTAACCACCAAGTTTCCCTGCAAGACATCTATCTCATCTGATAAGCATTAAAATAAACAAGATGTAAAACAGAATGAGCCCGTGGAAGGTTTTGAGCTGCTTGAGTGTGTGAAAGGACTGGTCCTGCAGATCCTAAGCTACAGGATTTCCATGACACAGGGCAACAACAGGATACCCAAGAGCCATTCCCTTGAGGATCCAGTATTGATCAGTATAGTAGAAGCCAGAGGCCTTGAACTAGACCAATGACTCATTTCAGTGAATATTTGAAAGTAAAGATATGTGGACAAATGGGTATGTCGTGGGACATACTGTGACACACTACAGATTCCACAACAAGATTTTTTTTTATTCTATCTTATTGTCTTTCGTTTTTGCAGGGAGGTTGCAAGGGCAGAGTGTGGATATGAAGAAACAGGGAGATGAGTGGGACTGGATGCATGATGTGAAATTCACAAAGAATCAATAGTTTAAAAAAATAAGTAGCAACTACTGACTTCTTGGTAAGACACTGGTGTGTCAGGACGGGAAGTCAATGAATTTCAACATAAGATATCTGGGCATGTCAAAACATCTCTTCCAGGGAAAAACAAGTCATTGCACATGACCCATGCTCCTCAAGTAAAAGAAAAAAAGAAAGCACAGTCTCCCATTGGTCTATTCATATTCCTTATTGGATGTGTTGCTTGAACATTTACTAAGCTAAGCAAATGGCTCCTAGATTTGTGTGGGGGCACAAAACAGAGGAGGCTTCCCAAAATGTTTACATGTTCTCCCATGAGGGTTTCATGCTGGATTGCAGTAACAGAGGTTTTGGCTTGTCCCTACAAGAAAATAGCCACAGACTGCCCTGCCAGATTGGGGAGTGAGGTCCTGCCCTTATTTGTAGACATTGCTTCCCAAATGAGAGAAACTTGACTGATCGTGACTGCTACTGGGTATTCATAGAAACATGTCTCACATGTTACTGTGCATCCTGAGCTGTCCATCATGAACTAGTTTTATGTCAACTTGACACAGGCTAGACTCCTTTTTGGAAGAGGGAACATCAATTAAGAAAATACCCCCAACAGACTGGCCCATAAAAATGCCTGTGGTGCATTCTTTTGACTGACAGTTGATGTAAATGGATTGACCCCACAGGTGGCGGTGCCACCCTTGGGTGGATGGTTCTGGATGGTATAAGAAAGAAGGCTGAGCAAGCCAGTGAGTAGCACTCCTCCATAGCTTCTGCTTCAGTTCCTGCCTCAAGGTTCCTGCCCTGTTTGAGTTCCTGCCCTGATTTCTCTCAGTGACGAGCTGTGACATAGAAATAGATGCAAGTTGAAATAAACCACTTTCTCCCCAGGTTGTTTTGGTCTTGGAGTTCTACTGCATTAGAAATCCTAAGCAAGACAGCATAGTTGTGTGGGCACACCCCACAAGTGACAGCTGCACTGTTGCTCTTTTCCTGAACAACACTCCAGAACAGTGGTGAGGGGACCCTCCTGGTGGGCAGAGAGCATTGGCCAGTGAACTTGGCTATGCCCTTGGCTTGGGAAGAGAAATGGCCAGACATGGATTATAAGCCAGTTCTCAGACTATGTCTAATGGTTTCACTGAATGGTTAGGAACTTAGAATAAACTTGATTAGAAAATGAATAACAGCCGGGCGGTGGTGGCGCACGCCTTTAATCCCAGCACTTGGGAGGCAGAGGCAGGCGGATTTCTGAGTTTGAGGCCAGCCTGGTCTACAGAGTGAGTTCCAGGACAGCCCGGGCTATACAGAGAAACCCTGTCTCGAAAAACCAAAAAAAAAAAAAAAAAAAAAAGAAAATGAATAACAAAGAAATGTAGGGAAGACATGCAAGCAAGGAGCTGAGATACAGCTCAGCTGCTGTTGCTGCACACTTTCTGTTGCTGTGATAAATACCGTGACCAAAAGGAACTTACGGAAGAGAGGGTTTATTTTGGCTTACGGTTCCAGAGGGATACGAGTCTATTCATAGCAGGGAGGCATAGCAACAAGTGGAAGACATGGAGACCTCACACCTTTAACCATGGAGAGATCAGATCTTTAACTGTAAGCACAGTGAAGAGAGAGTGAGTTGGAAGTGGAGCAAGGCTATAGACCTTCAAAGCCTATCTGCGGCCTCCAGCAAGGCTGTACCTCCTGAATGAACCTCCCCAAACAGCACCACCAACTGGGAACACAGTGTTCAAAATACCAGTGTCTATTAAGGACATTTCTCATTCAAACTACTACAGCTAATCCAGCTGGCCAGTGAGCCCCAGGGACACCCCCACCTCCATTTCTGCCTCTTCAGCACTGGGGTTATACGCAGACACCAGCATGCCTGGCTTTTTTTTTTTTTAATGTAGGTTATGGGGATTGAATTCAAGACTTCATGCTTTAAAAGCAAATTCTACCAACTGAGCTTTCTCTTAAGCCCTAGACTGGTAACTCAAAAACAGCAGAAATTTGTCTCTTGGGCTTCTAAAGGATGAGAACTTGAAGATCAACTTGTCTGAGGAAGACCTGTTCCTCCTAGATGGTACCTTCCTGCTGTGCCCTAGCAAGGAAGAGTGGATACATCCCTCACTCCTTCTATAAGAACATGGATCCCATTTGTTAGGACTCTGCTCTTCTAAACGAGTGACCCCCCAAGCCCATCTTTATACCACTGTGTTTGTGTTCGGACACTTCAACCGCAGTACCTCAGTGATACTTTGTTGTCTCTGAGAAAGGAATATACTTGCCAACAAATAAAGCAGAAGGCCACATCACAAATCTGTGTCTCTATCACTCTGAAGCAGCTGGCTTGAAGATAACATACAGCACCAACTGGGTGGCTAATAGACCTGAAGCAGAATTTTCCAGAAGGTTGAATGTTCTCTGCCTCACTGTTCACTGTCCAGCACTGTTTCCTCCATAGTCACGAATCATGGGTCTAAAAATCAAGGAGTGGGCATGGGAATGGAAGTACTACCCACAACCCCTAGAGACCCAATAGTAAGATTTCTGTTCTTTATTTGCACAGAAAATCTTGGTTCCAGAATGAGGAACTCTTCTGCAAGGAGGTACAATAAAAACTATATTGAACTGGATGTAAAGAAATCTGCACCCCTCCCCTACCCCCAGCCAATCTGAGCTTCTCAGGCTGAAGAGGAGTTAGGGGTTGGTGGAATACCTGACTGTGACTACCAGGAGAGATCTACAGTTCATGGCTCCCTTAGGGTGTCCATAATGTCACCAGGCCCTGGGGTTAAAGTCAATGGGACCATAAGGACCATAAGGACTCTCAAGCCAGGGAAAGCTGTGAGTTACCTGTCAGGTAAGAATCAAGACTGGCTGAGGTGCTGAGGGCAAATGTGCTGCAGAATGAGATGTGGAAGAAGGCATTTCTGACTGCAAGCTAAGTCCATGTGACCAGAAAATGATTTCAGTGGCCATAGTACTTCTTCTTTTAAGAATGTGTCTGGAGCAATGGCTCAGCAGTTAAGAAGCACTGGATGCTCTGGCAGAGGTCCTGGGTTTGGTTCACAGTACCTGCACGGCAGTTCACAATCCAGAGGATCCAACACCCTCTTCTAGCCTCCATGGGCACTACATACACGTAGTGCACACACATATGTATATGCAGGCAAAACACCCATATACAAAAAATGAAAAGGTTTTAAAATCTCAGACAGTTTTTCACTGTTTAGCTCTGGCTGGCCTAGAACTTTCTATGTAGATCTAGCTGGCCTTGAATTCACAAAGATTCACTTGCTTCTGTCTCCTGAGTTCTGGGATTAAAACTATGCACCTTACTCCCAGCAAATTAATCTATTTTTTAAAGTTATCTATGGGTATATAGTCACATATGAGGACACAGTACCTGTTTCCTTCATGTTTCTCCCCTAGCTTACTCTTCAATCACATGACCCATAGTCTTTGAGATATGAATGTCAGGCGGACTGCAAACACCACCAAGAACTGCACAGTCTCCTTTGGGAAGGGTTCAGGGGATACTTGGAATATACCACACGGTTAGTTCGTGTTGTATAGAACCATGGCCTTGTAGTCTTTACTGGGAGATAAAGGGAGATTTAGGAAGATGTTGCCAGTCATGTTGACATGCCACCATGTTGTCATGGGTGGACGTGGAAGTTTATGGTGTCAGCCTGACTCTAGTTATGGGCTGTCCAGATAGCTGAGAAAGCACTACTGATGGATAGGTTTCTGGAGATTTTTCCAGAAGATACTGAAATTTGAACCAGTGGTTGTGGAGAAGACCCACCTCGCCCAATGTGGGCAGCAGCATGTAAACTGAGCTGAGGTCCAGATGGAAAACAGTGAAGTCCTCCCCTCCCCTAGTTCCCTCCTCTAGGCATATTTCTTTTGCCCACGGACATCAGACCTCTCTGAAGACATCAGGCTCTCTGGGAAAGCCTTTGGACCCAGGACCTTCACTGACAGTCCTGGTCCCTGGCTGCAGGCCCTCAGCCTTGAATTGTGTATTTGTTCATTGGCTCCCCTGGTTCTAAGTAGATTTAACCTCACTAACTGTTCCCCAGGTCTTCACACAGGGGACTCATCTTGGGACTTCTCTGTGTCCACAACCATATATACCAATCTCCCTAATAAGTCCCTAGCATCTGTGTGTCTTGGGGTGGAGATGTAGACAAATGGAGAAGGCTGCTATGCTCTCTTGACCCTCCTCACTAGAGATGCTCCAGCTCATAGACATTGTATTACCTAAGCTCTTGTTCCTTCTAGGGCCACCTGTGTGTGTCCACTTGCAGTGACTGATGGAGGGACAAAAGGACACTACCTTCATCTCAGTTCCCATAGTCTCTAAAGGAATGAATCAGCTCCGAGATGGCCTCAGGAGATTGAAGCTATCTTGAAAGGCTGATCCACTCCTTCTCCTAACAGTGGGGTGGGACAGAGAGCTGTCCCTGGCCTTGGGCATTCATGGTTTACAAGAAGCCTGCCCTAGGCAGATCCTGTAGGCCTGCCGGACCAGAGACACAAAGCCTGGGGTTAAAACCTGGACACTATTGTGGGTAGGAGCATCCTTGCAGGCCAGGAAAACATAAACCCTGGATTTCCTAGATGGAGCAAGAGGAGCCAGAGGCCTCTGATCTGGCTAGAAAGACAGGTGCCCACAGAGACTTGCAGGCTTGTGGTTCCACCCACATTGTGGGCTCTTCCTATCTCAATACATGTGCAATCTGGGCACTGAGTCAGAGACAGATAGAGTCTACCCCACCAGGTGCTGTGTCTAAACCCTCACTTCCATTTGGCAGTGACCCTGGAACTCAGAAGCGCATGCGTCCTGCAGATGCTGATCCACAGCGCTGGCTAGCTGCCCTACTATGATCAGCCCAGTGCACAGTGGGTCTTGGCTTAAACTCGGGACAGCAAGCATTCCCAGACCCCTGGCAGGCTAGAGGATGTGGACAAGGTCACAGGTGGACTCCTCGCTGGAGCCTTATCCTACCCTTACCGGGAGCTCATCCTCTGCCCCTGGACTCTCTCTAGTGGCCTCTGAACCTGCACATCCTTCTCCCTCTTCTCTCGGAGCAGTGCCCTATCAAGAGGCCCTTGGCCCACTCAGCCTCCTCTTGACCACCTGGACTCCAAACAGTTTCACTCAGACCTGTCTTCATCACAGCTCCCCAGTCCCCGTCCTGTGGGGCAATGTCCTTTGTGGAGTCTTCTGACTCTCTTATCTGCCAAAAATTTTGGACCTCTGAGTCTTATTTAATAATTTTTCTCTCTTAATTACTTAGTATTGATCTGGAAACCAGAGCCCAGTTCCACTGCAAAGGATTACTAGCAGGCAGTGCTTATGGCTATTCACTTTCCATAATGTTACGTTCTGACCCCAACCATATCCCACCCACTCACCCATTAGTCCTGAGGCCTAGCCCCATCCTCCCAGCCACTCACTCGCTCGTGAGCACCTTCCCACTTCCTTTTCCCACAGCCTTACACAAGCTGGCTTGGTTATCCACTCATGCTTGAGGAAATAGGAAGCAGAAATAGTTAAAGATTCCAGAACTTTCTCCCACCACATCCACCCTTCCTGGCTTTCCCCTGAGAATTCCCAGCTACTTCCTTGCTTTGAAAGACTTGCCTTCAATCCAAACTTTAGGTTTTCTGTTGAGAAGACCCACCCTCCTTCCCTCTACAATCTACTCCATCCTGCAGTGGTCTCCCCACCCAGACCCAGTAACCCTGTTGACCTATCAGGGTCTAGACTGGAAGTGAGTATCGGATACACTTGACCACCCACTCTTCTTTTCCTAAGCACTGTCCATTTCTTCACGTCTCATCTAGCAGCCTCTCTGTGGAAACTTCAGAGTCCCCTTCAGGGAAGTTGGCCTCCTCTGTGTGGCCTAGTCACGTGGAAGTTGGCAGGCAATGCTGTCAACAGCAGGCAGCCCCTGGTAGAGTCTAAACGGTAACAGAAATAGGTGAGGAAGAGTCCCTGCGACAAAGCAAAGGTCCTGAAGTCTCAATGTGCCCTTTGTGTTCTCAAGAATAGAGTCTAGGGAAAGAGGGACTAAGGCTGTGTTTAGGGCAGCCTGGCTCTGACCAGAAGGGGCAGGGCTAGGTGCACATCAGCCCTTGTGTGAGCCTAGTCACTGCAGAGGCCAGAGATGATTTCTTCAGACTGTTCCCTTCAGCCTCTCTAGCCCCTCTAATCCATGGTAATAGGACCGAGGTGGGAGTTAGACAGAGGTTGCTGGGCTTCCATAAGTTTATATTCCACAGGAACAAAGGCACCAAGAGCATCATAGCCAGCCCTGGTCACTCCCCAGAACCCCTATCTCCTCAGGGGCTGAGTCTTAACAGGCCACACTCTCAGTGCTGAGCAAGCACTCCTGGGTAGACAGTGGAGGTGACCCTGGCCTCACATTAGCAGGCAGCAGAGTGACAGAGACCATGAAGGCAGGATTAGCCTTCTAGGCTGAAGCTCCACCCCCAGCCTAGACAGTGAACCATCTGACCCTCTCCTTAGGGACAGGGCCTCCGCTTTCTGGCTCAGCCCAGATTTCCGGATTCCTTTGCCTGCCAGGAGTCCTGAGGTGGAAATAATACAAAGCTCTGGCCAGCCCTCTCTGACCCAGAGAACTACGTGCACTTGGCCAACCTTGGGACTGCACCATCAAGGGGGAAGGGTCCCACAGTAGGGGCAGCTGCAATGTCCTGCCAGTTATGGTCAGGGTCACGGTTCTCCAGAGACCAGCCAGGCTTTTTTTTTCCCCACAGCTGCAGTACCCACCTCACCCCCAAGAAATCCAGAATTGTTGCTGCCTCCTTCCTCTAACAGCTGGACTAATGGGGGGTTGGGTCCCCACAGATCCTGGAGAGACTCATCCCGGCTCACATGTGACCTCCACAAGCTCCCCAAGAGTTGAACAGATCTGATATTGCAAGGATTCTAGAAGATGCAAAGGTGCTCTCCTGGGGACAGCAAGTCTAGGCCTCTCAGTACCAGGCCAGCACTTTACTGTAAACCATTCCATAGACAACTGCAGGCCACAGGCAAGCTCTGAAGCCCTTGGTACTCATAGCCTGTCATACACAGCTCTGATTTGAGCTCCTGTTTCTTCCTTGACTCTGAAGACTTGAGTCTTTTGAAAACCTCACAATTTAGGGCTGTTTATTGTCCCTGAAGCAGGAAGGTCCCCCTTCCTGGTGACCTTTTGACTCTCTGTGTCCATATGCCAGTCACTGTGGTGGCTCTTCCTGGGCCTGTATTACTGCCCTTGTGGGTTTCTCTGACTCCCTGCTGGTTCCCCTTTCACCAGAGAGAACACTTGAAAGTACAGTCGAGAGCTTGACCCTCTGGGTCCCCAGGGCCAGGCTCAGACTCTAGCCTTTATTCTCTCTCACTTCCTATGCTGTCTGGTTTGGGGTTTTTGTCCACATGCTGACCAAGTGTCAGACATAGGCTTCACCTCAGTTATATCTCTGCTTAGCCACTCAGTTAACCACTGATGGGTAGTGATCACTTTTTCCTCATCCCCTTTGGCTCCTCCCAAATTCCCTAATTTGCTGACAGGTCCTCTTATTTCCTGTCCACTCCCTCTCACCCCAGAGTTCTCCTGATTTACTGAATGTAATGACCAGAAATGACAAAGGACTCCCTGTTCTAGTTTGTTTTCAGTTGCTGTTATAAAACACTATGATCAACAGGCAAACTTAGGGGGAGAAATGATTTACTTGGCTTGTACTTCCAGGTCACAGTGTATCATTGAGGCAGAAACCATGAGTAATGTTGCTTCTTGGTTTGTTTGCAGACTCATGCTTAGCTAGCTTTCTTCTACACCCCAGGACAACCTGCCTAAGGAATGGTATTGCCCACAGTGGGATGAGCCCTCCTACATCAATTAACAATCAAGAGAATCCCCCATATACATGCCCATGGACCAATCTGATCTAGAAAATCCCTTAATTGAGACATCTTTCTCAGGTGACTCTAGGTTGTGCTGAGTTGACATTCCCCCAGACAATATCCACTCAGGACACTGGGATTCAGACCTCCTCAGAGGAAGGACAGCCTAATGGTGAATGCGGGAGCAATCAGCCTCAAGCATCAGGCACAGGACAGAAAGTCTGGGTCCCTATGGCAGGATCAACCAGAGAACTCAAATATGCTTGTGTATTAACCCCATGCCTATTTCTACTCATCTTTTTCCTGACCACCTATATGCTGTGGAGGACCACTGAGCTGTGTTTTACACACACACACACACACACACATATATAAATTATATATTTTATGAAACCACAATTCATCTACCATAAAAGCATCCCCATGAACAGACTGGGGTCCATGCTCTCTGTAATCAGATGTATGCAGCCAAAACTCCAAATATGTGATAAGACCTCTCAGGTGGCATTACCCCACTTTCCCAGCTCCAGGCAATGGCAAGCCTCTCTTCTACCTCTATTATTCTACCACTATTATTTTATATACTCTCAGCCCCTTCTTCTTTTGAGATAGAGTCTCTCTATGAAGTCTTGCTATTCTGAAACTCTCTGTGTAGACAATGATGGCTGGCCTTGAACTCACAGAAACCTGTCTGCCTCTGCCTCCTGAGTGCTGAAATTGAAGGAATGTACTTTTTCTCAGCACTTTAAAAGGAAGCATCAAATACAAGGTCTTTTACACCTGGCCTTTTTCATCAACAAAACATTTAAAGGTTCTGTCTTGTCTTTGTTTTGAGGCAGGGTCTTACTTTATAGGCCTGGTTGGCCTGGAACCTGTGGAGATCCTTCTGTCTCTGCCTTCCAGGTTATATGTGTACATCACAATGCCTGATTCACCATTTTCAAGGCCTGTCTGAGTTACAACATGTATCAGGGCTTCCTTCATTTTAATGGCTGCATTTTACTCTGTAGTCTGGACAATGTCATGTGGAGACACTTGTCACTTGATGGGCATTTTTGGGTTTTGTACTTAAAAATATATACTATTTTACTTTTATGTGTGCCTTGGGTTATCTAAAGGAACAGAACGGATAGAATGAATATATATTAATATATACTAAAGGAGTATTAGAATGACTTACAGGCTGTGGTCTGGTGTTCCAACAATAGCAGTCTCCCAATGGAAAGGCCAAGAATCTGGTAGTTGTTCAGTCCACCAGACTGGGTGTCTCAGCAGTACCATCTAGTGCTGGAGTCCTGAAGGATTCCTGAAGAGATTCTGTTCTTTGGTCTACGTTGAAATCCTGAAAAAAAGTAGGTTCTAACACCAGCAAATGAATGACTCACCAACAAAACAGATGAACAAGCCAGTAAGAGTGAGGGAAAGGGGAGGGGGGTGGGAGGTGGAGCAAGTTTCCTTCTTCCATGTCCTTTTATATGGGCTGCTACCAGGAGGTACGGTCCAGAGTTAGGTCTCCCCTCCTAAATGAAGCAATCAAGTAAATCCCTCAAAGGAATGCTCAGCTGCTTGAGTTCTAGTTGATTCCAGATATAGTCAAGTTAACAGCCGAAGTTAGTCCTTACAAAGTGTATGGGTGTTTTGCCTTCATGTATGCGCATCATGTGCATGCAGTGCCTGTCAAGGCCAGAAGAGGGCATTGGGTCCCCCTGAGCTAGAACTACAAGCCACTGTAAGGATCCACACTCAGGTCCCTGTGATTTGGCAGCAAGCCCTCTTAACTGCTGGGCCATCTCACCAGCCCTGGCTCCACTTTTTGGCTATGATAACAAATGCACATACGAAAAGTATGTGGGTCCATTTGTATGGATGTGTTTTCATTGCTCTTGGTTATACAAACACACATTTCTAGATATGGGTAAATCCATGGAACAAATGTCCTGATTACCAACCCCCCTCGAGACAAATTCAAGTTTCCTTTGGGGGAATTTAGAAGTTTTATGACGACAGAGACTTTCCTCTTATAATAGTGCAAAGATGGTTATTTGTTGTCACAGGTGCCTTTTAGAAATGAGTATTTTCCTGAAAGTATGCCATCCTCTTTCATTCTTATCACACGCATACAGAATTACAGAGAGTGAGGGAACCATGGTTCCTGGAAGTTCAGCTCATATTTTGGACTCTATTTACTGTCCAAGTAGAGAAGTGGAACACTTTGGGTATCTGGGTGCTTGTGTGCCTAGAGATTATTTCTGGATTCAGAGTCACTGCCTGAGTCCCAACAAGCCAGATTTGGCTGCTCATCCTACATAAACTCATTAAAAGTGCCAAGTTAAGGGGCTAAAGATATGGCTCAGTGGTTAAGAGAACTGCTGCTCTTGCAGAGGACCCAAGACAGACAGCTCACAACAACTTGTAATTCCACCTCCAGAGGCTCCTACACCCCTTACGGGTCTCTATAGGTACCTACACACCACACACACACACACACACACACACACACACACACCACGCACACACCACACACACATACAGAGACAGAGACAGACAGAAAGCATCCACTCACACAGACACATTTATACAAAAATGAAATGGAAATAAACCTTTTTTAAAAGAGACAAATTAATAAATAGAAAGGGAGTTATTTATCCACCATGGCTACATTGGGAAGAGGGATAGAGGGATCCAGCAATCCTCTGCCCCAAGTCCATCTTCTGAGCACTGACATGAGGTTAAGATTGGAGAGCTCAGGTGTGCATAACTGAGCAGCCCAGATCAAGGTATGGCTCCTTGATCCACCATTATTTCTGCTCCCAAATCTTTCCTGCAATGTCCTTTGACAAGTTGTAAATCTCCCTTCAGGAGACAAAATCCTCTCCCAGCTGTCCCAGCAGGTGCACCTATTCTTCTCCCAGGCTATTTCTGGGAAAATTCCAATTTCTTGGGGTTCATTGTCTCAACAGCCTGACAGCCAAAGAGAGGGGCAGGGATGCTCATTCCTCCCAGGCAGCCCATTAAGATGCATCCTTTGGGCTGGTGCTTGGCCGTGTTCTGACAGCGTAACATATTTATAAATATGGCTATCAATTCTCTTTTTCTCAACAAACCAGAGCCAATCTCTTGCTAATACAATGTCGGGACTTGCTGTTTTAGTACAAATATTGAGTTTTTCTCATTGTGACAAAATAATTGTCAAAACTAACTTCAGGAAGGGGTTGTTTTGGCTCCTGGTTGAGGCTCCTGCAGAGAAGGCGAGGCAGCAGGGAGGTGAGGCAGCCAATCACATCACATTCACAGTCAGCACACAGATGAATGCTGGGGCTCATTTCATTCTTTCTTTTTCTGATCTCTTTCTTCTTTTATGCTGCTTGGGTCCAAGTCCATGGAATGGAACCTTTGTTTTTTCTTTTGCTGCTTATGTGCTTGGTATCAGAGATAGGAAATTGCTATTTAACACAGGTCACCAACACCTATTTCCTTCCTTCCTTCCTTCCTTCCTTCCTTCCTTCCTTCCTTCCTTCCTTCCTTCCCTCCCTCCCTCCCTCCCTCCTTCCTTCCTTCCTTTTGTTTTCTTTTCTTTCTTAAGAATTTCATCTTGGCTGTCCTGAAAGTTGCTCTGTAGACAAGGCTGGCCTCAAACTCAGAGATCTGCCTGCCTCTGCCTCCCAAGAGCTGGGATCAAAGGCATGTATCACCATGCCCAACTAAAGGTTTAGCTCTTCCTTCAGATCTAGGACTCATTCTTTAAGATTTATTTTTATCTAATTAATTTTGACTATTTTATGCATATAGGTGTTTTGCCTGCATGCATGTCTGCATACCACATGAGTGCCCAGTGCCAATGGAAGGCAGATAGGGGCTTCAGATGCCCTGGAATTGGAGTTACAGGTGGTTGTGAATGGCCATGTGGGTGCTAAGAACTGAATACAGGTCCCCTTGAAGAGCAGCCAGTGCTCTTAATCATTGAGTCATGGCTCTATCCCTTAGGTCTCATTTTGATCATAAAGTTGGCAGGTATGACACTGGATAGATTTGCCTTCATTTTTCTATGTACAAGGATAGCTATACCAGAACCATGTTTTTTTTTTTTTAAAAAAAAGACTACTCTTTCCCCCATTGAACTGTCTTGTCCTCTCATTTAAAACCAAAGATCTATTTCTAGAATTTCAATTCTATTTATTCTATTGATCTCCACTGTGATCATGTTAGTTAGTTTTTGTTTTGTTTGTTGTTGTTGTTGTTTTGCTTTTTGTCAACCTGACACAAGCTAGAGTCATCTGGGAAGAGGGGACCTCAACTGAGAAAGCACCTCCATCAAACTGGCCTGTAGGGAAGTCTGTGGAGCATTTTCTTTATTAATTATGGATATGGGAGGGCTTACATAGTGGTTGGTGCCACCCCTGAGCGAGTGGTCCTGGGTTGTATAAAATAGCAAATTAAGGAAGCTATGAGGAGCAAGTCAGTAAGCAGCATCCCTCCATGGCCTCTGCTTCAGTCTCTGCCTTGGCTTTCCACAGTGATGGACTATGACTGGCATGCATAAGCCAAATAAATTCTTTCCTCCATGTGCTGGACAGTTTTATGTCAACTGACATAAGCTAAAGTAGGCTGAGAAAGCTGACTTTTTAAATTTTTAAAATGCCTCCAAAAAAGAAACAAAAAAAGAAAAAAAAAACCTCCATAAGATTAGGTCTCCATAAGAAAGGCAAGCAAGCCTACGAGGCATTTTCTTAATTAGCGGTTGATGGGGGAGGGCCCATCCCATTGTGGGTGATGCCAGCCCTGGGTTTCTACAAGAAGGCAAGCTGAGCAAGCTATGAGGAGCAAGCCAGTGAACGGCACTCCTCCATGGCCTCTGTATCAGCTCCAGCCTCCAGGCTCCTGCCCTGTTTTGATTCCTGTCCTAAACCCATTTGATTACTAACAGTTATATGGAAATATAAACCAAATAAACACCTTCCTCCCTAAGTTACTTTGGTCATGGGGTTTCATCACAGCAATAGTAACCCTAACTAAAACACTCTCCAAATTGCCTTTGCTCCTGGTATTTATTACAGCAGTAGAAAGCAGACTAAAATAGCTATCCTTATGCTATTTCTCTGTCTCCCCCACCTCCTCTTTTGGAGACAAGGTCTCATATAGCCAAGGCTGGCTTTGAACTCCAGACTCTCCTGCCTTCACCCTTTAAATGCTAGGAGTATAGCTATGTTCTACCATACCAGACTTTAGAACTATACTCTCCTGGCTACTCTGGCTTTGTAGTGTGCATCAAGAAGTATAAACCCTCCATCTTTGTTCTTTTTCAAAATTGTTTTGGCTATCCTTAGTCTTTTGCCTTTTCCTGTGAATTTAGGATCAGGTCTTTCAAGATAGTTCAGAGGGTAAAGGAGCTTGCCGCCAAGCTTGATGACTTAAGTTCAATCCTAGGTCCCAGATGGTGGAAGCAGATAATCTAGTTGTCCTCTGACCTCCACACACATGCTATATAGCATGTACATGTGCATGCACACACATACACACAGAGAGAATAAATAAATAAATAAATAAATAAATAAATTTTTTAATTAAAAAGAAAAAAGCCTTGAATTTAGAATCAGCATAAAAAGCCAGACAACTTCTTAAGTGTTATGACCTGAATGATAATTTTGTCTTTGACTTGTGAAGGTCAGATTCTCTCAAATATGGTTAGATACTTAGTTTCTTCCAAGTCTGCAAGTCTCATGGGAACTCGGTGACTTTTTCCTTTGATGTTTTGTTCTTTCTGCTGCTATTCTAAATGAGACCATCATTTAGACTCCATTTTGGATTATTTACTACTAGTCTATAGAAATATATTTGTCTTTTGCATATTGATTTTTATATTTGCCACATTGTTAAATACAATTACTCATACAACTGTTCATTGTCTTGTCTTGTTTCTTTCTGTGCCAAAAGTACCTGACCACACGACATAAAGAAGAACAGATTTATTTAGGCTCACAGTTCAAGGGTATAATTCACAATGACAGGGAAGGCATGGTCACAGCAATGTGAGGCAGCTTGTCACATAACACCCACAGTCAGGAAGCCGAGTTAAACACTGGTTGTTTGCTCATTTTCTGAGTTTTATTCAGTTTAGAACCCAAGTCCATGGGATGGTGCCACTCACACTTAGGGTGAGTTTTCCCTCTTCAGTCAACTCAGTCTAGAAACTCCCTCATGGCATGCCTGTAGGTATGTCTCATGGGATATTTTAAACATTTACCAGGACTCTGTCCTGAATGGCACCTTTTTCATCTTTCCCAGAACCCTGGGGAGAAGCGCCGAGACTGTCTTGTTCACTTTATCTTGTTATGTCTCTGACCTTTGTGGGTGAGGAGCCTTCAGTCTTCCTCAAGAAGAC